ATCATGCGTCTGTTGAGAAACAGGAATGCATTTCCAGAACCAAACACGTGCTGGATTGTGCGAGGTCAAGTGAATAAAAACATCAGAGACATACAGAAAGCTGTTTCTATTCAATCAGATAACAGTACTACACAGAGAATCAAAACTACTTGACAGATAATTAAAAAGTTGTGCTACATTTACCGCTAAACATCAAATTTTACTTCAGTATAATTTAAGCATTGCATTGTACATTTAGTGCAATAGAATATTTCATAGTCTAAATATTTATCAGAGATCAACCCATTTATACTATTTTGACATTAAACTGTGGTAAACATTATAAAGTTATTTGAAATAATACTGTAATTTAAGTTCCTTACTTTCTGATAGGCAAGTATTAATATTGACATAATATATACTGTTTATACATTTGAACTACATTACCAATTCTTTGCATAAAATTATGTAATACAGACAAAGATTACTTACTGTATTAAACATTTTAATTTGTGATTTGCTAAAAATTACATAAACAGAGTTTGTGTCATGTTTTCTTCTAGCATTCTACAGTACCAGACTTAATGATCTGAGAAGCTAGCTTTCACATTGTCTAGATTGAAAGCACATACCTTGAAAATGAGGGTTCGAATTTTGATTTTAGCTATGAAATAGTTATGACTGAAGAATCTATCATTCATTTATAAATAACTACATTAAACATTTTTCTATTAATTTTCCACATTTAGTAAGGAAAGATAAGCCTAGAGCATTGTCACATCCATTAGTTCAGGCCCAAGGAAATCAAATTTTGTAGCCAGAAATTTGATTGGGAATTACAGTAATTTTTTAAACTATTTGCTGAATACTAACATTATTATAAAAAGACTTGAATAATCCATTAGAATAAGATAATGCTGCTAAATCACAAATTTTATCTAAATTTCAGTTCCAAAATTACAAAAATTCTCCTTTTTACCAACAACATGATGATATTATAAAAATCATTTACCAGCTATATAAATTAATAAACATGTCATAATATACAGTTGAACACTATAGTAATCCCTATGAAATTATCGTGAAGTAGCTATACACGTATGGTGAATTGGATATTTCCTTCTTTCCCCAGCCCTGTTTAGCTCATAATTACATTCAAGTCAGACATTATCATCACAGCTGCTGCCTCAGACTCATATCAAAGTAAAATACTATTACTGGACAAAATTAAAATCTTCAACAACTTAGTAATACATTGTACTCTACATAAGAATTAAATACAGTATATTCAGATAATAATTATAATTCATTATTAAAATAACTGATGCTACTAGTAGTTCAAAAGATTTTGGTCTGGCATGATATGATGCTGTGTATTTTAGTAAATAGGTACAAATATTTTGGGGAACTTGATGCCTCCATTTTCAAAGTTTATCTTCTACCCTGAAAATGGAGACAGCAGGTTCATCTCAGACATTGGCACCTACCTACCAACTACACAATAACACATCTTAAAGGTTTAGAGCATCCTTATTTATTGCAGTAAGAACTTTAAATCTTTCTTATTAGTAGTTAACATTGATACCTTTCTTACAAGAAATTTATCCCTGTTTTTATATTCATGTCACACTGCCTGCACAGAGATTATCATTAATTTGTTATCAACAAAGTGATTAGGATTATCAGGAGTATTAATTAAAATCATAAAATTTATTTAACAGCTCTAATGAGCTCACTTTTCTACTTGAAACCTAACATATTCCAAATTTGTATACATAATTTTTCATTAGACAAAGGTGGAAAAAACTTCATGCAGCTTAGATTTTGCTAGTCTATGATCAAATGCATACTGGAAGAAGTACTGCAGAGAAATGGCAAAGAATCTTCACAATTATGTGTTGACATGAACATATATATTCTTCAGGAATAAATCAAATATTTCAATAATTAAATTTTACTGTTATACTGTAATAAATATCAATTCTACATAGAAAACAGCTTTCTGTTTGGCTGAGAAAAAACAAATATCATGCAAGTAGGGACATGAACACATCAACACACCTGATGCAGTGAACACCAGATTCACAGAATGCATGCTACACCATGAAAGCAACATATTGCCAGTTCAATAAATTATTCAAATTAGTATAGAAACAGATATAGTTTATACTAAATGTATCTTCAGATTTTAATAGCTTAATTCTGAAGAATTAAAAACAATGTTTCCACACTCAATTTGTCTGCTTTTACTTGCATAGCATAATATGATAAAATAGCTAGTATACAGCAGGAAGGTATTGCTGATGTCTGCCATGCCAGACTGAAGATTGTACAAATTTACATAATTTCCTTCACACAATGATGCTGAACAGATCTCATGTTCAGTCCTTCTTTTTTATACCGTATTATCTGTCAGTTTCATATCTATTACAGAATAGGTTAGAACTGTAAAGAGTTTATAATAATAAACGTCAACATTTTAGCATCTGGGTATAGAAAAAAGTTTAGAAATAAGTTACCCATGTGCTTACTTAATTAAGTACCATGACATGAAAATGTGTGAAGGCATAGTTCCACACATTCTTACGCTCTGTATTAGACTGATGTGAGTGGTCAGTTTCATGCCCTGAATTCTGATACCAACATTATGCCATTTGAGGCCACCCCCACTACCGACACTACGATAAAATACAAATACTTTTAGCAATGTTGTAAGTATTTCATAGTTATAAACTGTACTAACTTCAACTTCAGTGTAACCAAGTAACCAACAGTGGGCTAAATTGCATAGCACTGATAATAAATATTCAGAGAAAGTAAATGAAATTGTAAAATTATTGTAAGACGAACTGGGTCCACCAGTACAGATACAATTATGGTTTCATGATGTGTGATAATACCTGCATTCATGGATGTGCTTAATTTAATTCACTGAGAACTCTTATACAACAGTATAGGATTTTTACAACTGATCTTGTAGAATAAGACATGACAGTGGTTGCTTGAATTTAATATACTGTTGCCATTCTGTGAGAATATTGTATTTTATTGTCTAATTTAATAATGCAATATACTGTAAAAACCCAACATATAACTTCAAAACATTAAAAACAAAGAAAATGATTATTGAACTGGCAGTGCAAGAAGTTATTGAATATTTATCGTTTCCTTCAATAAAAAACTTTTTCTTTTTCATACAAACAAATAAGAAACACCCAAAGTTGTTAACCTTCTGGGTGGAAATGCATTGCCACAAGATGCATGATGACATGCTTCATGAACATTTATCTCAGCTTGAACCCATCAAACAGCCACCAATCGATCGACCAACCAATCAATCAGTCAATCAGTCCAACCAATCATCCAACAAGTCACAGAATGATGTTCAGGGCTAAATGCTCCAACATCAAAACACCAATCATCATTTCAACATCGTGATAACAAACATTTATAAGAGCATTTGCAGCCTTATCAGTCATAACAATTAAAATATAAAAACGTCCTAACAAATCTTTCACTACCTGCAAAAGAAATTTGTTTAATACAATGATCCATGGTAAACACACCTGAAATTAGTATTTAGTTCTTCAATATTATTATGTCCGTATTTGTGTGAATGACAGTATAACTGTGTTTACAATTATGTACAATTGTACATAATTGTTAAAATAATTTAATATGCAAATTTTCCATGAAGTTTCTGGGGCACAAAGAGCAGAAATATGTAGTACACTAGTTATAAACAAATAACCTGAGATCCATGAACAAGTTAAAAATGTAAATTTTGCTTAAAAAATTACATTTTATCTGTGCATAAAATAATTTTTATGCACAAGAAAATCAACTCTGATCAACTCCAATTATATATTATTGATTGCAGATATCATACAATAAATCCAAACACTGCATATATTGTTGTAAATATGTCTTCTCTGTTTAGTCTTCTGGTCCCAAATCAAGTTATCTGTTTCCTGTTGTGTATTGGTGTGATGTTGGAAATCTGGGTAGCATGCAAAATTGGTACGGAACTCATGTTTACTAATTATTTTGTGGTCAGTTAGCAATAAGCACTTTGCAAGTAACTGCATGTGTGCAAAATGAGTCCAAACCAGCAGTTTAAGCATGTGCATAAAAATAAACCTATATAATTCCAAAAGGATAATGTTAAATGATGTTACATAAACATTTAATAATTTCACTCATTTTCAGGGCAACTTTTCGAAATTTTCACAGAATAAAATACTGATAAAAAATTATATGCTACTGTTAGTTTGTAAATCCTAAAGATGAAGAGTCTGTCTATGTTCGAAATGACACCAAGCCCAAAATATCTTTTGTTAAACTACAAACAAGCATAAATTGTGAAATCAGAAGCAAAAAGCCTTACTCATACTTTTGTATATTTAAGTATAAGTACTTGTTTTAAGTACAAAGAAGCAAAGTTATGAGCCTGGTAACTCTTGAAAGACATTCAAATCACCACCCTTTTTAAAAAAAATTTAACAGCACAATTTATAAAACTGGATATTGCTTCATGGATCCCTGAAGGACATATTTCCTTTACTATGAGACATATAATCACATCCCCATCGATTTGCCCCCCCCCCCAGGTGCATTTGTAAGAAATTTTTTCTTCTTTTCTATTCAGTTTTGTAAAGTTTTTATGTTAATGAAATAGCTCAATGCATGGATGAAATAAAACCATGTTAATAATCAGTAAAAAAAGAATCAGTCCATCATAAATTTATGACAAACAACAGATTTCGCACAGAATCTTTACTCTAAATTAATTCAAGACTGTAAAGAACGTGCTTATGAACATATGAAAACTTGGCATGTATTTGGTAATAAAAGTATAGGTTGGCTTAAATACAAAACATAAAAAAATCAGCATGTATTTTGTAATACAAATACATACTATACTCAATGACTCCAACACAAAAATACTGTGTCTACAAATTCTCAACTACTTACTACCAACAACTACTGAAGTACTACATCAATAACAGATACTGGCATACCTTCATCATAAGAAGCAGCGTGTTTAACACAATGAGTATCATGATGAAATATTCAAATGGAGTTGACACAACAATTCGCCAAACCTTGTACTTGAAGCTGTTTCTTTTGCTGGGCATGTACCGTTCGAGTGGCCTGGCCCCAATTGTGAAGTCAATACAAGATTTCTACAAGAAAATTAAGAGAAAAGATGACATTAAATTATTTTCTGGTATTCTTAGACACATGTAACTTGGAAGCAATTTATTTCTTACCCAGTACCATAATGTTATTAATGTACACATAAATTTGCATTAA